TGTCAAAATTAATTTCATGCTCATCAAATTATTTTAATTATAGAGAGTATGTATTTATTTTAAGATAATACTAATAATAATAATAATAATAATAATAAAACGGTTCAAATAAAGTACCGACCGTAGACCGCGATATTATGCGCGATGTACAGACAACATCTTTGAAAGACAGATAATAATTGATAAAAAAAAGATAAAAAAGGTTTCAGCATGAAAACAATAACATGTATGATTAAAAATACTAGCTTTTGAAAATTAAGAAATAACAATACGTCCAGTCATGAAATAAAGAGAAAACAACGTGCTATTATTTATATGAATAATTTAAAATAGATAAAAGACAAGCATATAATAATATACAAAAAAAAAAAAAAATTATAGCTCTGACAGTAAACAAATAATTGATCAAGTAAACCATTGTTTTAGTCAACTAAAATTATATAAGTATACACCAACGCTGAATTTAAAATTATAATAATCCTGTGCAGGTAATACCTTTTCATTTATTTTATACAATTACTGTTTGTTTTTTGTTTTATAAATTAATAAATTATTATTGCAATCAAGTTAACGTACCAATATTGACCATTCCCGGTATTTGTCATAAAACAAAGGCGCTTGTTTTATTTTATGAACAAATATTTTATATTTAATGTATTTTCATAATTTATTAAATGAAAAGGTCAATTTATTTATTTTTAATAGGATACAATTACTGTGTTATCATTAAAATCAACGAGCTGGTCATACCGCAGTAAGAATATATATATAAAATACAAAAAAGTTCAGCGGATATTTTTGAGTCAATTATTATAATTTACAAGTATTCGTATAATCTTCTGTTGTATAATTTGTGATTGGGAAATCAATAAAGTTAAAAATTATGGTAATATTATATGGAAATTCAGGTAGGCACTAGATCCATGTCCTAAGTTATAGTACCGCCACTCAATCATGTTCATTTAAAATACGCTTCAGTTTATAGGTATATAATAATATAGATAGCTATGCATTCTTATTTTCGTTATTTTTGGCTTTGTTTTGTGTTTCGCAGTTTTTTTTATTCTATTGGTCCGTGAGTGTTAAAAACGCGACAAAACTTTATATAAAAATATAAAGTTCTCGTTCCGACGTTAAAGTCCAATAAAAAACGACCCGCAGAAAAAAAAAATGCTGACGCTAACAAAATAATTTTTCCGTATACTATCGATGCACTGTGTGTTACGATGGACCACCACTAACAACGACCGGCACTATCATCGGGTTTCCATTTTCGGACAACACAAACGCGTCCATGTGGGAATGCTGTCGTCGTCATCGGAGTCGGGCTCATAAATAGCCTTCGTTGCGGTAACGATACGGGTGGTGGGGTGGCTTTTGTATTTTCCAAACGCGTCTAAAAAATAAATAAAAAAACCTCCCTCTCTGTACCATACACACACACACTCAAAAGCACACGCGCACATCGGATACTAATACACGATCACACTACAACACCGCTCATTTCCGTTGTTTTACACTTCGTCTAACTGACCGACCTGTTTTTGTAAGGTAAACAAACGTGTAAATAACACTTATGATGAAGATTATGATGTTGGCTCAGACAAAATATAAAATAATAATGAAACTAATTTTCTTTTTTATTGTTATAGAGAGAGATGGACATTGTACCAGTGGGGCATCTAGGGTTTTTAAACCCTGGGGCCAAACGAAATGTCATACCCTCATAATTAATATAGGCACACTCATAATAAAATTGTTTCTGTATTTTCCTGATACTAATTTTTCTTCTTCTTTCCTTTTAAAATTACCACCTTAATCATTTAAATTCTAATGTTCGTTTAAGAAGATATACAAATTAAAAAAATATCAACTCAAGTGCTATGGGTAAATAGCCCGTAAATGTGCAGGTCAGAAACAAAAACAATATATTTTTCATCCTGACATTCAAATATTAATAATATTTTGAAACATATTTTGCTTTTACTGCTTTAGAGTTTAGTGTTTTATAAGCTTATAAGGTAAATGTAATTATCCTGCAATGGGTTTTAGAACTATTCATATAACTTTGTTTTAGGCATTTGTATAATATTTCATCAGAACCTATAGGACTGGATTAGTAGATCTTAGACTAAGTATAACTCTAGGCCCATGCGTTCCAATAGCAAATTGTTGAGTCATTTAAATGGTATTATATAATTAAAACCAACCACAATTTAAAATGCTTTACTTTTTGAAGATATTGTATATTAATAGAAATATAATAAATAAAAATAATCTCAGTCATTGCGACATTGCTAAGCTCTTAGCACGTGCCTACCTTGCCTATTCATTAATTCAGGACTGATAACTATCTAATAAATAATGGTATTAAAATTTGTGTTATTGGTATACATACATATCTAAATGTATTTAAGATAATAAATTATATATTTTTTATTCGGTGTAACGATGGACCTATTGGTTTAACGGTGACAAAACAGCAAATATTTATGGCATCTCCCGACTTTATTGATTTCATTGGTTTTAGTGTATACGCACGATTTTTTCTACCAGAAATCTTGCTTCAATCAAATATCCGACTGGAGATCTTTTTTGTTTCATGTTTAATCTAGTTGGTAAATAAATATTTCACATTTTGATTTCCCAAGAAGTTTTCATAATACTTGGGACAAACAATAAAAATTCGTAATATTAAACCTGACAAATTAACGTTGTTACAATTTCATTATAACAAGTATTTTAAATGTATTTCCTACTAGAATTATTTTTCCAACCAAAAACGACAAGATACCTTTTTTGTTGTATTTTTAATCTTGTTGTTGTGATGATTTTGCGAGTTTCAAATCCACAGAGGTTATAGGGTTTATTCCCTCCAGTGATTATTTCAGACCTTTATTCCCCGAGGGGGGGAGTGGGGGAAATTTACGATACCTCCCGAAATTTCCTATATACTTATATAAATTCTTAAGTTTTAAGCTGTAGATAATAATATATAGTAGTGACAATAATCCCAAAAGGAGGGGCGATTCACCAATCACTTCCCTCTCTTTGATATCCACCACTGGTAGACACAAATGATAAAACATTTATAATAAAATTTAAGCTATTTGGAAGTGAACAAGTAAATAGCAATCGCCCCTTCTTGGATCTATCACAGGGTATATTATACTCGTATTCATCGAGATTTATTTGACCATTAAAGTATTATTAAGTTGAACTTTCGCTTAGTTTGATTTCTATTATATTCTATATTTAAGACAAAAATAAAATTGTATTAAAATAAGAAAAAGAAAGACCGTTGATGGGCGTGCAACCGTTTTAGGAGAGAAGTTGAAAGGGAGGAGATGTAGAGTAATTATATGATTCATATCTATACGTAAAAATCTGTAAATATTGTTATTGTTAATGAAAACCGATTTTGAGCAAATTATTATTAGCCGTATTTTGTCCCTTGTTAATGAGGAACCCAGAAAACAATAAAAATTATGCAAAAAATTGTCAGTTTTTTCAAGAAAAAAAATAATAACTTCCTCAATACACTTAGATTAAGATTATATTTAGATCAAAAATGCTACAATAAAGTTTCCAAAGAGATTTAATTTAAGTAAATTTTCTGGTAGAAAAGTCGTTAACAAAAAAAAAAAATTCAGAATTTAAAATATTGTTTTAGTGATGCAAATAATGTATTGGTTTTACTATGTTGTGTTTTATTTTATGTCTTTAAAAACTTTTCTATCAGAAAACTTGTCGAATAAAAAATTGTGTACGTATAGTAATACTTGTGTAGTCTTTTTGGTCTATTTGGTACATTGAAAAATAAAAAAACGGAGAAAACAATCAATTTTTTGTATAATTTGTTTTGATTTTTATTTTATCTCCTCTAAAGAGAAAAAATATTGTTTATACTACTGATTATCTACTGTTAATACTGTACTCAGAATCGTTTTTCATTAGCAATGGTTTATCGTCGCGTTCAGATATAAATTAAACTCCATCTTCCATTCCGAACTTCTATCCTAAATGATTGGCATGTCCATCGGCAGTATCAGTAGATGTATTCTTTTATTTTATGTACAATAATAAAAAAAAAAAAAATATTCTAATTATGTTTCGATAAATGGATAAAATAATACAATAAAAGCATATACGGATTTGGCGTTGATTTTCCGGTGAACACGACGAGAACCGCCACGTCGAAACTATGATAATATTATCGTTCGTTCTTCAATGTGGTTACAAATTTACAAAAATAAATGGCGCTCACGTGAATGTATACCAGAAACACTACACATTCTGACAGACTTTTTTCCATTTTATTTATTTATTTATTTTTTTCTATTCCCGCCTCGACTCTCCAGAGATATTTACCGAATGTACCTACCGCACTACAACGGTACGGTACCTAGGTATTGGTAGACAGGTCGAGGTTTACCTGGCGTTCCCCGGCCAGGGTCTAATTTATATGTGACGGTTTTACAACCGATTCGATTTTCTCAACATTTATTACGGCGGCGGCGGCAGCGTCGTCGTCGCCGTGGGGACGGAACGCTGTGCAGCAGCAGCAGCGGCGGCGGCGGTGGCGGCGGCGGTGGCGGTACAGAACAGCGCGGCGGCGGTGGCGACCGGAAAGACGAGAGTGGCGCGCAACGGCTCCGGAAGGGCGGCGAAAGGGAAAATCGGCAATTTACCGGGCCCGTTCAAAACCCTTTGACCCTTTGTCACCTCCGCCTCCGCCGTATCCGCGCACTAACACGTTTCCGCGCCGCTCTCACACTCTCACGCTCGGTTTGTACGCTCGCAAACTGTAGTTCACGTATTACGTGGGCGTGTGTGCGCGCGCGTGTATGTGTTTGTGTGTGTTTGTGTGTGTGTGTGTGTGTGTGTGCGCGCGTGTGTGTGCGTGTGTGTGTGTGTGTGCGCGTGTGTGTGCGTGTGTGCGCGCTATATGTGTATACGCGCGCGCTTCTTTCTCTCAAACGCGCGGTTCGAACCCGCGTACAGTGCGCGTAGTATCCATTATACGGTTGTATCGGTTTCAATTTTCTACCGCCGGCCATCCAGGGAACGATAACTCGTGTGAATTCCGTCGGCCGTTCTTTTCTCGCCGCCGCCGCTCCGTCGTCACCGTCGCCGTCGTAGACTCTCGCGGAATTCGGTCCAACATATATTATTATCGTGTAATACGGTGCAGCGGCGCAAATCTATACACACGAATAACGCTCGGGGGAATTTTCGCTCTCCGGCCACTTAAACCGGAGACCCCAGATGCCAAATTGAATTCCGGTTCCGTTTAATTGGTTCCGCGCGAGAGCTCGGGACGGCTCCGGACGCGCGCACAAAAGACCCGCGCCTTTGCGCCGAAAAGGATGCGGCCGGCTGTGCGCGTCGTGCGCTATACGCGCGCCGTCGAACATCCTCCGACGCGGGTCGTTTCTTCCGGCAGCGGCGAACGCACCTATAATACGTACTCAATAATGGTCGTCGCCGGGAGACGTCCGAAGATCCGGTTCCAATGGGGCGACCGAAACGCCGTATGCGAAAAACGACTTTGATACTCGTTGTCGTGCGTGCGTGTACAAGTAAAAGAGTGGACGCGCATTGTACGGTTTAGTGGTTTTTCGAAATTCACGTACGGAAGCATCGGCAAAACGGATATCGGTGTTCGAATTAGACAACTACGAAATTATCCGAATCTGATGCTAAATTAAAATTCGTTCACATTTTTCTGGAAATAAAAGATAAATACACATGCAGTATCTCGATAAAAATGTGTACGTTTATTTTTAGATTCGGAACGTACCAAACGATTAATATTGTTTTTACTATGCTCTGTGTGTGTGTGTGTGTGTGTGTGTGTTTTTTTTATATTTTTTATCTGCGTGTAAACAATTTTTCGAAAAAAACTCTCTCTCTGATGTATCGAGTCTACCATTTTTCCTGAAAGGTAATTGTATCTAGTTGATACGTTAAACGGGTCATATTTTGATTTTTATATATATTGGGGATACCGGAAACATAATTATAGGTTGAAACGGCAAATATTTATAAGGCGTTCCTCGACGTTATCAATTTCATTGTTTTTAGACAATGAGCGTAGCGATGGAGCTATTGGTTATACAAGGCTGTTTGTTTCTTCTTTTTTTTCTTTCATTGTTCTAGTCTGTGGACACTTGTATTCCTAGTAAACTTGCTCCGTTTTTTACGTGTAGTAACTTTTATGAAAGCTCAATTTGTCTAGATAGTACTTTATAAAAACACGGGCGACGTTTTTACCAGAAAAAAATCATTTAATCGAAAAATCACAAAATACCTATTTTGTTGCTTTTTTGATTTACTTTGCTGCGGTATCATCTCCAAGTCTTTCGAGCCACTTTTGAGCTTATAAGGAATTTTAATTTTTTCCTTTAATTCGGTTATAAATACACGTAGATATTTCAAACTTGATAATAATAATTATATTGCACTAACCTAGACGTGGTAAAATTTCCAAAATCATTGGACGACTTTTTTTTCTTCTATTTTAATAAGCGTTTTAAAATCATATTTAAATGAAAATCGCAAAAAAATGACGACAATTCAAATTATGTATTACTTAACTGCACTCGAAATCGTCTTTCGTTAAGCAATGGTTTATCGTTGCTTACAGATATAAATGAAATAACCTTGAGTATCTTAACTTCTCAACTTCTCACATACAACAGTGGCCGCTCCCATCCTCAATATCAGTACTTTTTTTAATCAATGTTTTCTATTAGAAGCATTTCTTAATTTAATTGAATTGATTTTCTATTGAATTTTGGATCTATTTACTCACGAAGTAAGTTTATAATGAAAAACCGGAAAAAGACGAATATAATAACTTATACATTTACGGCGTTACAGTCATTTTGTTTTAAATTTGGTGGTTTACATATTTTTGATTTACCATGCAGTTTTTTAATAATAGAGCAAAGAAAAAAAATCGTAGAAAGAATGGAAAATTTATTTTTGTATATAGAAGTTAATATCAGATTTTTACGAATCGATTGTAAACTCAGATATAAATTAAATAACTTTATGTATCCTACCTTCCTAACTTCTCACCAAAAATAGTGGCACAGTCATCTCTATTTTAAGCTTTTTTTTATTTTTCATCACAAAACTTGGGCTGACTAGACAAATATGTGTTGGATTTTTTAAATTAAATTAAAAGCAATCTAAGATTAATTGGAAAAACCTGGTTCAATTTTCTTGTGTGATAACTATCGTTATGTTTAACAGTTAAAAATTGATTCAATTTAATTTGACCAATATTAATACATTTCTCTATACTCAATTGTATCCTTTTTAGGTACAGTATGTCAATTGATTTCTGTAGAGTTATTAAATTGAAGTGGTAAAAGTAAATAAAATGAATATGCAGCTGACAGATAAACAAGAAACTTTCAAAGTTAAATACATAACATAAACTTAATTTAATAACATTACTTATTATTTATTTAATTGATATAACCTATATTTTATATACTCAATGGTGACACTAATCTTACTAAAACAAATCTATCTGTAATTTCAAACATATTTATTTTGACAACATTTTTATTATTTAATATTTATCATAAAAAAAATGATTTAGAATAATTGATTTAGATAGATGAATGTAATATGTACCTAAGTTAATTATCTAGATAACTTGAAATATATATATATATATATATATATATATTTAAATGTATTTATTAATAGATAGTATAAGTTATAAAAAATATAGTTATATAGATAAATATATCACTACTTAGATATTTCATTTACAATTATACACATTTATAGATTCCATATAGCTTATTGATGATTGTTTATTCACCGCTTCAACCTAAGTTTGCGCCGATATTAAAACGATTGTTGGTAAAGCTTAAAAACCGCTATCGAAAATATCGGTAGCCGACCATCAACCGCTTAAATAAGTACCGTTTATGTTGATGTTATACTGTTACCAGTAATCGGTTTTTTATAGACACAGCAATTTGAATGTTGACCGGTTACCTGTTAGAAACCATTTGATCGTTTTTTTTCTCTGGTTTTTTACCGTATTATAAATTAAATTGCGACGTACCATGCATGCTTAATAGCACTTTTTTCAAGAACAACGTATAACTAAACATTTTAAACAATAAAACATACGGCATACGATGTAAACAAGTGTGGTTGTGTTGCTTTACAATAAATTACATCATTGTTAAATAAAGACAAATTTAGAAAAAATAATTTTTAATATCCTTAGTATCCAAAAATAGTAAACCGTAGGAATATAGTAAAAATTTACTTATTTCAGATTCATTATTGTTATAGTTATTTGTTAGGCCTGATTGTTGGATTTTTCTGAATCAACTTTGGCACAAATAAAAATTGCCACTACTAATTTCCGTTGTTGGCCAAATATACAAATTGAACATAAATTCCGTATACGTTATCAAAATGTTCGATAATTTCCGATACGATGCCTTAATATTAACATATTTACTAAATTGTATTTTTTTATTATTTTAAAACTATGGGTTTCGTATATTGGGTTTTATTTAAATTTTGATTTGTATTATTTTTATGATAGATAATTCTATTACAAACTGAAAAATGTTAAAAGTAAAAGAGTAAAATAATGAAAGTAAAACGATTTAAATAATACAATAAGGAGATTACACCATTTATTTTTGACAGATAAAAAGAGACTCTGTAGGGGTTTACACTATATTTCAAATTCAAGTAAAAAAGTATTCTTTGTAGGAATTTGCAAATAGCTGAATTTAGATTTTAATAGATAATTATGTAAATATGATTTACGGAAAAATAAAAACTAAAATCATGTGTTACGGCCGGCAATAAATTAGAAGTCGTCACGGTTGTTTTATTTTTCCGTCTCTTGTCTTCCTATTTTTTTTTTTTATTTTGGTACTATTTAATTTTTGTATAACCATAAAAGATAATATTATGCTTATTTTATAATTACCTGCCTACTAAGTGCGCTTTTTTTAACAAACAGCTAGACCTCGGAAAAAAATTAGTTTTACGAGCCTCACGTTTCATTATTATAATGATATATTCCTATTAATTTATTATCAAAATATTATGCAATTATTAAAATGTATAGATTCGCTTCTAAACATTTTATTAAATTAATACATTATTGTTTAAACTTTTTATGTATAACAACATATATTACAGCAAAAATCAAAAAAAAAAAAAAGCTGATAACGGGGGATGGGAGCGACTAATGTTTTAAGTAAGAATTTGGGAAGATAGGATATAAAAGGTTATTTCATTTATACCTGTAAGCAACGATAAACTATTATTGACGAAAGACGATTCCGAGTGCAGTTCGGTAATACATAATTTGAATTGTCGTCATTTTTTAAGATTTTCGTTGAAATTTGATTTCAAAACGCTTATTAAAAATAAAAATTGATCGAACATAGGACTTATCACTATTTGCAATAATATTATGCTTTATTGAATTCTAGCTATCTTTATATAAGATTTTGTTACACGATAATCAAATACGTCGAATCTTTTATGATACAAGTATAGTAATAACATTATTCCTGTTGATAGTTTTAAATACATGTTTCCAGTAGTCCAGAATTCGAGTTTATTTGTCGTCTAATTTTATTTTATTACTAATGCTTGTTTTAAAAACCCTTTTTCCTATTTTTTATTTCGTATATACTCAAGTTAATGGTAAACTTAATATAAAAAAAAAAAAATCGTTTTTTTATTTTTTAAATTATCTTTGACCGAATAAGGCATAGCCCTTCACTGAAATGGAGTTTTTCAATATTTATGACAAAACTCATCAAACTACAAATTTGTTTCAAGTAATATGATTCGAATCATTTTTTTCTTTAAAAAATTTAATTTTTTCTAAAAAAGATTGGTATTGACCTTCAACACAAATTTCCAAATTTCCAGGTCAGACGAAATACTGTACCCTCAACAGAAAATTATAATTATATTTATAAGAAATGTATTTTTCACTTTGAATTGTGTAACTAGATATAGGTGATATAAGTGATATGAGTGATATGAGTGATAAATATAAAATATATCATTCAATGTATTTTCAATAAAAATTAAGATTCTTTAGATATGGTAAAATAAATAATCTTTTAAAAATAATAAATTATCAAATAGTATTAAATAATAAATAAATAATCTTTAATTTTTTCTAGATTATTATGAAAACTAATTCGAACAAGAAAAAAACGAATTTGCATCATAAAAAACCATGATAAATAATTCAACAAAAAAAAGTCTCCTTTCGTTTTTCAATTGGTGACATATTTGTGCTAGAAAACATGGTAGGTACTTATTTAAAATAAGGAAATCGTGAAATTGTATGTTTGCCTACTTTTTTTCCCACTTAAGTGCTTTTATTTAAAAAATGACGTCGAAAATCAAAAAAGGCTACTCTAAAATACCATCTTGACAAATTGAGCTAGTTACACGTAAAAATTGGAGCAAGTTTACTAAGAAAAATAGTGTACACACACTAGAAGAAAAAAAATAAACATCTTAGTAAAACCAATAGCTTTCTCGCTACGTTTAGAATCTAAAAAAAAACACTCGATATATTATGTAAGTATTTATCTTTTTTATGGCTCAAATCTTACAGATTTTTTTTATATACATATTGTTTATTTGCTTATCAAATTTTACATCAAAATAATTATTATTAAAAAATTCCAAGCTGTCATCAAGTAAGTTACAACTTCCCGATGTAAAATAAAAAAAATTGCAACTTTCAAAGTTTAATCCGCAGTCATAACTCACGCATATTTATTTTTATTTTTATTAAAGTTTCAGTTTATACTAAACTTCCCGTAAGTCATACATGGAATTGAAAATAATTTTAAATTAGATAAATAAATTATATTTTGTTTTACTTTAATAACAAAAGTGAATTTAAAAAACTCACATATGTATAATAATATTAATATTTAGTTATGAATTATTGCCGTGCAATTTTAATCGTTTTTAAATATTGTAAATGTACGTTGTATAGATATTATTCATTTTGTATTAAAACGTGGCAAAAAGAGTGTGTAATATATTAAAATTCGATTACACTCGCATAAAATAAAGCTCTTATAATCAATTATAAATACTATTTTATAGTATTTTTTAATTGCGTAATTAGTTTAAATAAAGCGTTTTAAGCTGATATGGGGAACATAATATTTAATAAACCAGCATGTTTGATAAAAAACCAAGTGTAAGTAAACACGTTATTTTACTATTTTGTTATTTGATCACTTATTGTAGTAATCTTCTTTTGTGGAAAATGATCCAATTAAGACCATCGCGTTAGTTAACCATCATAGTTTAAGTTTTCCTTATAAAATTGTTATGTCTTTAATGTCCAAGCGTCCATATCTTTCATTGCCTATTACATCCTCCTATTCCATCATAAGATTTTTTCAATATTAATACTTTCTTTGTACAATTGTGTTTTTTTTTCAAATAGCGTGAGTTTTGACTACACCGCGCGTAGAGTGCCGTAAAAACCGCAGTTCGGGCGGTTCATTGCACCAGGGCTCCTCGCTTAAAGTTCTTGTACCGGGCCCATATTTAAAATCGTTTAAGTGCTTATGCCAATAACATAATATCTCTATGTGTGTAGGTAGGCCTCGAAAGATACACAAGTCAATTAATAGGTATTATGAACAATATTATGTGTACACGGGCAACCTCCGGTCAGCATCCAGGACCGCCACGGGTACACAGACTGGACACGTCCACTGACTATAGTTTATGTGTGACTCGCGATACGGGGATTTACGGGACAATTGTCACGAGTACTTGTTTACACCAACTCGATTAAAATTTTTACTCGAGGCGACCAACTTTTTAAAAATAATTACCAACTATTGTACACAGACATTTTACTCAGGTAATAATATGCTACCGTCGGTTCTAGAAACTAGCGAATGGGTCTCGACCCGAGCCTCCCTAACGCCAAAAAATAAATTCGACAACTCCGATATACTAGGCGTTAGTATTTTATTCAGTCGTAAGCGTATACCTAAATAATTCAAACGGAAAAGCTAAGAATCGACTAATGATTGAGTAGGTAGGTACGTTTTATTTAAAATCCACCGATGTTACATCTGATAAGACCAGGCAAGGAGAATTTTTAGTTAGGTATAGGTAACTAAAATAATAACAACTCAAGAATTGCCAGTAAGTACCTACATAAATACCATGTGCGGTGAAAACATGAGGGTTGAGGGGTTATATCACAATTTCTGTGATTAAAAAGGAAGAAAAAAAATCGCTTATAAACTTATGTAGGTACATTGTTAAAATATGTTAATATGATTATATTATTTTTATTATTATTTTGTTACGTTTCATTTTTTATTTTTATAATAATACACTGTTTCCCCTATAAAATATTGCGTGTAAAATACCTATATACTTATATTAATACTTAATATTTCATTTTGTTATCAAACTATGAACAATTTTTATTTTTATCTCAATTACGGTTAGTTGGGTACTAATAGGTAAGTACCTATTTAGTATTTTATAAAATTCAATTTATGCAAAAACCAATATTTCGTTGACCTTTATATTGCGTACTCGTGTGTTATTTTAAGGAAATGTAGTATGAAACCCTAATGAAAATCAAAAACTAGTTCAGGAGTTCTGAGTTTCCGTAAATTCTCCTCCCAATTCGACCACTGCTTACTTGTATTATGGACTTTTTGCATTTATATTTATTTTATGTATATATATATATGCAGATATTTATTGTTTTTAGATTCTGAGTGAAGCGAGTATTGATTTTATAACAGTGTTTATTTTATTTTATTATTATTTTTTAATCTGCGAACAACTTTTCTAGCAGGCATTTTTCTCCAATTTCCATGTGTAGCAATTTTTCTGAAAAGAAATCTTACTGAGATTGTACACTAAGAAGGTCATTTGTTTTTCCAAAAAGTTTTCATAATAATTGAGAAAAACCAAAAAAAACGTAGGAAAAAAGTGTTAATTTATGAAATGTATTATTTTCAAATCGTAAATATGACGGCCATTTAATACACGTGTAATCGAAATACGTTTAGAATCGTTTTTCGTTAGCAAAGATTAATCGTTGCGTACAGATATCCATTAAATTTTCCCTTTAAGTTTCTCATCTACAACGGTGGCCCACCCTTCGTGCGAAGTATGTCCGTATCTTTTTTTAAAGCATAGAGTTAGATTAAATATTAATGGAAAATAATGGGTCCACAAATTAAATTTACACCGGGGCCCATTTTACTTTAGCTACGGTATTGCGCGCATGTCTTTTACTTCTGCTATTCTTATATTTCGTATATTCGAATCCGGTAAGAGTCGTGTTTCTGTATTTCATCAATTTTTCTTATTCTACATTCGCCACATTTAGCCGTTTTAGTTGTTAAATTATATATTATTTTAAAAATAATCAAATGCAATTATTTTCTGCAATGTTTTCTTGAGAATACGCAATACTCTATTGAAACAGTATACTGCGAATGCACTTAATTTTGCCTAGATGAGAGATAATTTCAACGTTACAACTTTAAGATATTATTTCTTTTAGACCAATCTCAGATCCAATAAAACCACCAATATAGCATGCGATTATTACACACGTTGAGATACATAATTTTGTTTTTCTTAGATAATGAGAAGCTTCAGTTAAGACTTTAAAGTGAGTTAACGGCGTGAAACTTTATAGTACATTCTGACGTAGATATAATAAGTATCGCATTTTCACTATACTTACACTAAACTAATTAAAAGTTTTTTTTTTCTTTTACGATAATCAATTTACAAAATAATCATAACAATGATCAAACACTATATAGTCCTTATAATAAGAATGTGCTGTATTAGAAAACTTCAAATTTTGACGAAAATCGTAAAAACTATGACATTTTCAAAAAACTTGCACAAAAAAACTTCGCTTAGAATCGTATTTCCACGATTAAGCATTGCATATTATAAATATACATAAAATAACTCAATGTATCCTACCTTCCCAACTTCCCACATACTGTCCCTTAATAGTATCAGCTCTTTTTTTTTTTTTTAGTTTAATCTGTATAAACTCTAGTCCAATCATCAGTATCGTGGGTAAATTCTTGTAGACAACTTTGTCCCCTTGTTTATTGAGTTTTAAATTTTTTACTTTTTCGATAGTTTTCTTTATAATTTAATTGGTATACATGTATATTTTTTTATTTTTACAGAAAGAGAGAAAAGGAAAGAAATAAAGTACCCATATCGAATAAAAATTGACTATTACGCAGCTCCTTTTCAAGCGAAATTATCATTATTTTACTTACCTACCATACAAATTTTCATATTCGAACGGCAGATAATAATAAATTGATTTAATTTTACCACGATAAATATCTCTAATATTATAATATTAACCGCGTTGATACGCGGTTTCGCACTCATGCGTTAAATCGACGACCGATAAAGCCCGTTATGAAAATATAATATACGAATTGAATATAGTATGCAATCGTGGTAAAATATTAAACGAGTAGATGATACCTACCTAAACTACTTAACTGATTGAGTGTAGTCATAGACTTTTTTATTAAGTGCCTAGGTACCATGATCTACAAGTGTATAAACCGTCGTGCCTACCTACATTATTATTAGCAAACCTTTATATGTTATATTTACACATCGTCGTCAAATAAATAAAAGTTAGATAAGGCAATATATATAAAGCTATTTTATTTACAGCTGTGTATAAACTATATTATTGCTGAATAAACACGATTCTGAGCGATGTTCGTTTAAACATAAATTAACTAACGTATTTTTTAAGATGTTTCGTGAACATTTAGTTTGAAAATGATTTAAAAAAAAACTACATTACATCCAACAACATATAGTGAGTTATCTTTGGGTTTTATTTTCTAGTATTTCTGTTTAATCAAATAATATTATCTTGATAATTTTAATTTTATTTTTTAAAAAAAAAAAAGTTGAAGAACTCAATGGCTAAAAACAGCTCAAAATTCGTCATAATATTTTAAGAATGATTTTACTATATTTAAAAATTTGCAATATAAATAATCTCTGAAAATTTTGGGACCTTGCGAATATTTTTAAACAAATTAAAACAAAAAGAACAAAATTGAGGAGAATGAAAACGTTATTTCCATAAATTTACTTGTTTTCCCTACCTTTTTTCAGTATTACCAAACAAATTTATTTATTCAAATAACATGTTACCCTTCAACAAGATTTCAGGTAGAAAATATAAATCATACAAATTAAAAATAATAAAATTCTTACGCTGTAGATATTTGAACATTCTTCACATACGTTTTTATATGGTTTTTCATAATTATTATAAAAACCAAAAATCCGAAATTCAACAAAAAAGAGTCTTGTTATTTTTCGATCGGCAAAAGTGCGTTATAAAACATAACAATGTTTCGGGAAATAATCGGTTTATTTAATAATAAACCATAATACCAATAATAATGTGTATTCGGTTTTATAATTAAATCTAAGGTCAGACTAAACTTTTAAACAAAAAAATTATAATTATATTATTAATCTATAATTATAATAAATTATAGTCAATATAATCAATATCTATAATTAAGGTGTATTATTAGCTTCCAATTAAGCAGGTACTCAATTATACAGGTGCCTATAATTACCAACTTGTCAAATTACTGTCATGTTTTATGATGAAAATATCTTCAACAATTTAGTACATACATTAAATACATTTCAATATATTTCACAGTGTACTTCTATGTTTTTTAGATTTCGAGTGTAGCGAAGAAATTGGTTTTATAAGAATATTTAATTTTTTAATTTTTTTTTTTTATGTGAACACTTTTTCTACCGTTAACTCCGACGTAGAACTTTTTCTGAAAGGAAATTTTCTTTGGGTGGTACCTTAGAGAGATCATATTTCAATTTTCTTAAGAGTTTTCCAGCAAATATGAAAAACCAGGAAAAACTGGAAAATCGGGTTAATATTAAACAAATGTTATTAAAGAAAATATATAATTACTAATTAATCATTTTACCATAAAATGTATTATTTACAAAGCATCACTATCAAATGAATTTAACTCAAATTGTTTTTTCGTAAGCATTGGCTTATAGTTGCTTACAGATATACATCAAATTTCTATCTGCATCCTATCTTCCGAAATTCCTACCTACAACAGTGGCTGCACCCGTCCCCATTAACCTTGAACAGCTGGTTTTCACTATGATATACGAAACATGTGCAAACAATATAATACACTTTTACGTTCAAGTAGATCCCTTAAATATATTTCTGCACTCTTGAAATGTCTACTTAAAGTATCTATTAATCCCTTTCAAATTCTTTATTTGCTATATGCTATACAAATATATATGTATACATAATAAGTATATATTTTTGAATAATTCGTGTATACCTAATATACATTAATAATAAAAATTACGATTATTAAATAGAATGTATACCGATCATCACATGTAAGTTATTTATATAAGTATTATCTGTTTTTTTTTTTTTCAATAGTAATTTATATTTAAATTTCTATTGAAAAAACTCTATAACCTTACTTTTATTTATCTTTTTTAATTTAAATTAAAAAAAAATAAATAAAAGCAAGGTTATACAGTAGTAAAGAGTACAAAACAATTGTAAACCTATAGTGAAACATCTATAAATGCATTGCTTATTTCAAAATGTTTATTAGAATTAT